CTTTTAAGGGCAAAGGCCATGCGGTCGGGCCTGGCCACGCACAGGTGACCAATGAAATTGTAACACCCACAGGAAACTCCACAGTGATGCTAGGTGACCAACTGAATTACAATTTACCCTAGTAGACATTTGAACCAGCCTATTAAACCTTGATTGGGATTGGCGCCCAAAAGGCTCCCAAAGGGTGGGGCCCATACTCCTTGGTAACCAGGGAGACAGTATACATCCCCCCACTGATCGGATGTCTCCACCTGGCCTGACCCACCTTTGTATCTGGGCTTTGTTACCTGAAGCTGGTTTCTGGGACTTGTTTTTAAGTGAATCCCCTGTGGGAAGGGGAGCAGGGACAGTTTAAGGGTTAAACAACAAGGTTTTTGTTTAACCTCAATGAAAGCCTCTTGCTAAAATATAAAATAGGTCCTTACAATTGGCACAGAGTCCGTACTTAATAATTCAGCATCCTATCGCCTGACTCTAGATTCTTCGTCATCCTGAAGCCTTGGGAGAAGTGAATTCCCTTTTCTGAGCCTCCTAGCTTCCCCTCTGAGAAACTATGAGAGTCTAATGGGCAACCTGATTTTGTGGGCTCAGTGATTTGCTCAAGGTGTCAGTAGAGGGAGCTGTTGGGGCTTTATTGCGATGTAAGAGGCCGCAAAGACAAAAGCTAAGTGGCCCTTCCTTCTCACGCCTTCCTGCAGCTGAGTGCACGGTTATGGGCATCCCCAGTATCTCTACCAACCTCTCCGGCTTCGGCTGCTTCATGGAGGAACACATTGCAGACCCCTCAGCTTACGGTCGGTGCCCAGACAGAGAGGATCCTGGGGGAGGAAGGGGTGGGCTCCTGGGTCCCCGGGGGAGGCGGCGGCGGCGGCGTCCCGGTGCCGGAGAGTCCCTGGAAGAATGAACGTTTCGTTAGTCTGATTTCTGAGCCCCCGTCCTGGCCTCCACAGGCATCTACATTCTGGACCGGCGGTTCCGCAGTCTGGATGATTCCTGCTCGCAGCTCACCTCCTTCCTCTACAGCTTCTGCCAGCAGAGCCGGCGGCAGCGCATCATCCAGCGAAACCGCACGGAGCGCCTCTCAGACCTTCTGGACTGGAAATACCTAGGCCGGGTAGGACTCCCTCCCACGTCCTTTGCTGGTGAATCGGCCGTTTCCGGCCCGGGGTCTCTGATTCCTCAGCCTCCAAGGCTGGTGCGGAAGACAGCAGCTTTCCACTTGTAAACAGCAGCGGTCTCTTTAAGAAATTAACCAGCTTTTGCAGGTGGAGCCAGTGTGGCGGAAAAGGTAACTATCTATTTAGGGAGTGGAGCCAGAAAAAAGGATGATTGGCGCAGGGGCCGTCTGGAAGGCGCCGGGGTGTGCTCATCAGCATAAGGAGCGTGGTTGGGGTCCGCCCCCTTCTACCTCTGCCGGGGGCGGGGCCTGGCTCCAGTCCCTTGACACCCGGTCCCGTTCTTTTCCCCAAGTACTACATGTCTGCACGCCACATGGCGCTGGCCAAGGCCTTTCCAGAGCACTTCACCTATGAGCCCCACGAGGCTGACGCGGTGAGTGGACCCCGATCTCTCTGATGGGCTTGGAGCTAGACGGCTGGGGTGGGGGCGCGTCTGGAGTGGGAAGGGCCAGGCGGGGGTCGGGAGTGAGGGGGGGACCGTAGGGTCCCCTGCTCACTCTCGGGTTTGTGCCCACACACCCCGGAACGCAGGCTCAGGGCTACCGCTACCCACGGCCGGCCTCGGTGCCACCATCGCCCTCACTGTCGCGACACTCGAGCCCGCACCAGAGTGAGGACGAGGACGAGCCCCGGGACGGGCTGCAGGATGTAGACGGGGAGCGCTACGACGAGGACGAGGAGGCCGCCAAGGACCGGCGCAACATCCGCGCCCCCGAGTGGCCGCGCCGCGCCTCCTGCGCCTCTTCCACCAGCGGGAGCAAGCGCAGCTCGGTGGACACGGCGCCCTCCAGCTCGCTCAGCACTCCCAGCGAGCCCCTCAGCCCTGCTAGCTCCCTGGGCGAGGAGCGCAACTAAGTCCCGTGCCCCACACTCCCGGTCCATCCTGCAGCCCTTGTCCAGAGGGTGGACGAGGCCAGAATGGCGCTGTTCCTAAACCCCACTCCAGATCCCTAATCCTCCTGGGGGTCCACAGCCCTGCCCCCTCCGCCATACACTCCAGCCCCTCTAGCTCCGCTCTTGGAATCCCCAACACTCCAGAATCCACAACGCCGTGCCTTTCCTGGGTTCCAGAATGCATACTTTGTGCCCTGGAATCCTTCGGACCTGGCCTGGAGGCCAGGGGCCAGGAACCTGCCATTTCCCTGCAGTGGTGCGGGAGGATCTAGGAAACCTGGTCTGTTGCCTTCCAGGCACAGGCTCCTAGAACCCTTTTTATAGCCCACAGGCCATGCCATGCTCAGGCCTGGCCTGAGGGCCAGCAGGCTCTGGAAACCATGTGGTTTCCCTGCTGATGGGACAATCAAGTCCAAAGCTGGGGCACTCAGGGACTTCACTGAACGCAGAAGGTCCTCCATTTCAACTCCAGCACTCAGGCTCCAGACCAGGGCTCTCCCCTGTTTACTCTGATCTGGCCCTTCCTGGGGTGTTTGGCTCTGCCTGGAGGACCCTTCCACCCCTGCTGTTCTTTCTCCGTCCTTTGGCCAATGGGGGGTGGTGGTGGTGGTGCAGAACCACTTGGCTTCTCATTCCTGTTGGAGAATATGCAGTCTTGGTCTAGATGCTTTTCTGGTCATTTCTGAACCAGACCGTCCTCTTGTTCCCTGAGTCTGATCTCTCCTCCCTATGTTGAGATTCCTGTTCCCTCCAGGGAATCCCCCTGCCGAGGACCTGACTGTCTTGGACCTGACTGTCTTCCCCTGCCACAAGCCCCAAGCCCTAGGGCCACCACGAAACCACTGGGTTCTAAGTCCCGGCTGCTGAATCCAGAACCTTACCACTGTGCCGCTTCCTGATCCCTTTCCCCTGGTCTAGAACTGATCCCACTAGGTTCTAGAACTTTTCATTTTTATCTCGAGGCTCTTCCATCCTTAAACTGTGCCCTGCCCCCAGCTTTGGTGAAAGGGAGGGGCCCTTCTGTGTGTGCTGTGCTGTGTCTGATCCACTCGGTTTGCAGTTGGGAGGGGGAGGGGAGAAGGGGGTGTGATTGATGTGTGTCCAGAGATGAAAAATACATCTATATTTAAGAAACTCAGGTTTGGTCCACTGTGAGGGCTTGCTGGGCCTCGCTCCTGGCCCCTCCCTCCCCTTGGCTTCTCTACCTCTTTACCTCCTGTATTCTTACCCCCTCCTCTGCCTACCCCGGAGTCCCTGATACCCTGATGTCTCGGAGAGACTTGGATTGCTGTTCTTGATTCTAGTTTTATTTCAAGGGAAGGCACGCCTGTTTAGTTGGGATTTGCAAGCAGGCAAAAAAGTGGGCTCAGCCTCTTTGGCAGAAAGGGGCTGTGTCACCAGAAAACAAAACAAAACCTTAGCCACAAGCTGGGTGAGGCTATTTAAAATTTAAATGAACCAGATTCCTCAGTAGCTCTAGACACAGGCCGACGACCAATAGCCACTTGTAGCTACATGAAGCTTATAGGTACACAACTGAACAGTGCAAATACAGAATATTTATTTTCTTAAGATTTTATTTGAGAGAGCACATGAGGGGGAGGGGCAGAGGGAGAAGCAGACTCCCCGTTGAGCAGGAAGCCAGCAGCAGGGTCTGGACCCCAGGACCCCGGGATCATGACCTGAGCAGTGGGCAGAAGCTTAACTGGCTGAGCAACTCAGGCGCCCCTGGAATATTTTCATCATTGCAAAAAGTTCTGTTGGACAACACTAGCTTAGAACATGTTTCGAGGACACTGGCCTCTGGACTTCAGCCCTACCGTCTCCTGAATAGCTGTTTTCCAGGAAAACTCTGTTTTCTCTTTTTTTTTTTTTTTAAAGATTTTATTTATTTATTTGACAGACCGAGATCACAAGCAGGCAGAGAGGTAGGCAGAGAGAGGGAAGCAGGATCCCTGCAGAGCAGAGAACCCAATGCGGGGCTCGATCCCAGGACCCTGAGACCATGACCTGAGCCGAACAACGGCAGAGGCTTAACCCATTGAGCCACCCAGGCGCCCCTGTTTTCTCTTTCTTTAAAAAAAGATTTTGACAGAGACACAGCAAGAGAGGGAACACAAGCAGGGGGAGTGGGAGAGGAAGCAGTCAGCCTGATGCAGGGCTCAAGCTCAGGAGCCTGGGACCATGACCTGAGCCGAAGGCAGAAGCTTAACAACTGAGCCACCCAGGCACCTCTTCTTTTCGGTTCTAGAGTGCGTCCCCGGACCAATCATGTTTCAGGGGAATAGAAAACTGGATTTGCATGTGTGACCATCCCCATTAACTGTTAGTGACGGACACACCTCCCCTCCGGAACCCTGAGTGGCCACCAAAGTGTGGTGACAACAGCAGATGCTGGGTGTCCAGGAACCACTTCCTCCTAGATTCTTTGACCAAAACCAGAGAGGGTGCAGGGGGGCGGTCAGAGTTCAGTTTCATAGCTTGGGCCCAGCAGCTGCCTGCTAACCCTTCAGTTCCCATTTGGAGGACCTAGTTCCCAAGTTTCACATCCCGTTTCTGTGCTGTGCCCCGAACCCCTAGCTCAGCATCTCTTATCACGGGCTCCTGCTTGACAAAGTTACTCATCAGAGCCCGTTTCTGGTTACAGTTTGTTATTTCTAACAGTGCCTGCTTCCAGACACCAAGCTAGGTCCTACTGGACTCTGCCTTGCAGGAGGAGGGGCAGCTGAACAGCCTGGCCTGGCAGGGAGTCTGCTACTCCACCCCACCCCTAAATTAAGATTAAAGGTTTAGAGAACCCCGGAGATCGTCTGCAGGGCCAACACCTGTCTCCCCGCCAGGGCAGTCCAGCTGTAAGCCTTGCGGAAGTGGATCCCCCCCCAGTTCCCACACCACACACACAAGCGCAACACCAACACGACCCAAAGCGCCAGCGGCTGCAAAAAGCTTTATTGTTTCCATTTGGTCCAGGGCTTGGGAGAGGGCTCCAGGGTGGTTACAAAGCTGCCTCTGGCTGCAGGGAGAGGCTGAGGCACGGTGTCAGCGAGGGCTCCTCAAAGGATGCTGCAGGTCTCCGGAGCTCCTAGTCGTGCTTGAGGGTGAGCCTCTCGAAGAGATACTCGCCCAGCCCAGCCTGGGGGCCGGCCAGCCTGCGGAGGTTCGTCAGGTGGTCGCCCATCTTCTTGATGAGTTTCACCTCCTCATCCAGGAAGTGGTTCTCCAGGAAGTCACAGAGCTGAGCGACAGGAGAGACCAGACCATAATGCCACTTATCCATCGACAGCGTGACAGACGGGGAAACGCGGCTCAAAGGGAAATGTGCCCAATTAAATGGATGAAGGGGATACTTACATGGGGGTCTGTGCGGGCAGAACCCAGGGCGTGCAGATCCAGAAGGGCCTGGTTCAGGCTCTTCTCCAGAACCAGGGCAGCTTCCATGGCGTCCAGGGTTTTCCCCCACTCATCTTGGGACGGCTTCTGTAGAGAGGCAGAGCGCTCAAGACTAGCTACATCGTCCGCTAAAGCGTCTAAGGGCTCGCATCTATCACCTCTAGGCTCCTACAACCACCCGTCCCAGGAGACCCCGTTGCAGTGTCTTCGGGGAAGGGCGCGCGCCTCCATTTTGCGCCGCACAAGAGTGAACACAATCGTCCAGAAGCCCGCGCGGGGCCTACAGCGCTACAATCAAGGCGCTCGACGCGCGCAAGGGCTACTGGGACATGTAGTCCGCTGCCCGCACACTATTTACCTGGACGTCCTGGAAGAGGGCGCGGCCGCCGCGCTGGTTTTGCATCTTCAAGAGACGCTCGGCGCCCTCTCGCTTCTCCTCAGCCAACTCGCGGAAGAAGTGCCCCACACCTTCCAGAGCCACATCGTCACGGTCGAAATAGAAGCCCTGCGGGAAGGGAGGCGCGAAAAATGGTTAGCGGGAAGAAAGGCCGGCCTGAAGCCCGGACTCCGCCCTCCGACTACCCTACGGGACAAAGGCGGCCAGCGCGTGCGCACTTGGGGGGAACTTAGACTTGGGGCGTCCTGGGGACCCTCACCAGAGAGAGGTAGGTGTAGGAGGCCCGCAGATGCATGTTGACCAGACGGTTGACGGCGGCCTCCACCTCGGTGGAATAATTCTGACGAATCTGGGAGCTCATGATTGATTGAAGATCAGGAGGTAAGCCCGAAATTGGCTGTGGGCTGGTCCCGGAGGCAGCGGGCGGCCAAGAAGATGGCTCCCAAAGTTGCGACTGGAAAAGAGGTTGGAGGGTGGTCGTTGGCTGGTTGCAGGGGCGTCCCTGGGTCTGTTCCGTCCAAACACTGTTGAAGCAAGAGACAGATCCGCAGGACCGCCGGGCGCACTGCGAGAAGCTGTGGCCAAGGCGGCTTCTTTTATAGCGCGCGGGCCCTCGGAGGTGGGGCGTTCAGGGAAAGCGATCGGCCAATCCGCGGTGCTGGGAGGCGGGGCTTAGGACCCCTATTGACCAATCTGAGCTGATAGCAATCCCAGACCCCCCGCCCAGAAGTGGGGAAGTCACGCGCCAGTAGCGCGAGGCTGTTGTGAAATGGGGAAGCGGAGGTGGGGGGTGGATTGCGGGGTGCAAGTGTCCTGGGGCTGATTCTGGGACATCAGGGGATTGTGGGGATCTCCCTGGTAGGTGAAAGGTTAATGGGGACACTGGGAGCCCTGGAAAATTGTCACTTTGGGGTCTTGGGGGTGTCTCAGTTAAGTAGGTTGGATTCTGGGGTTGTCTCTTAGTGCATGGACTTTCTGGCACCCTGGAAGTTTCTCAGAGGTGCGGAGACCTCCAGATGACTGGGGTTTGCTCTGGAAGATAAGGGGTCCCCGGATCATTAAGAAGTTTGGAAGGCGGTGCGGTGAGATATTTCTGCAATCTTTGGGATCTGATAGATGGATTGAAAGGGGGGACCTGGAGCCCTGGGGTTCACTCAGATTGGGAATTTCTGTAGCACTAGAGTTCACGATGAAGTCCGTATTTTCTGGAATCTTCCCCTGGAGAGGGGTGGTGGTGGTGTGTGTCTTTAGACTCATGAAGTGATCTTCAAGATTAAAAGGAACAATTCTAGAGCCTTGGGGTCCTCCTGTGCCCCCCCTCCTCAATAGGGGACAGGGGTATTTCTGGAAGCCGCCTAGGGGCTTTTCTAAGTGGTAGGTCGTCTTTGGAGCCTTTGAAAGATCAGGCCATTTGGAATACCCTGGGGCTATTTCAGGGGCCTGTTGTTTTTCTGGAAGCTGCCACAGTGTAGGGTGAAATGACACTCAAGCTTTAGGGTCTCTTTGAGGTTACTTTTCCTGGAGACTATTCTGAGGGCAGCCAGAGACTTGGAATTCTCTTTGGCTCTGAAGCAGTCTCTGTCTTGCCTAACACATGCTTTTCCAGGGTCTCAAAGAGAAAGCCCTGGGTCCTGGGGAAACAAGGTCTAGGGACCTGTGGATGGGATGGGTCTCTAACAAGTGTACATTTTTTTAAGTCTATCGGTTCCGGGCTGGTGTCTAGGAAGCAAAGCTGGCTCAAACCAGGACCCTGCCTCAAGAAACTCCCCATGTCCTAGAGAGGGGGAAAGGAGACAAAGACAGGAACTTGACTCTGTTTTCAATGCCCTAAGGGGTAGCCAGCAGGTTGGGCAGGGGAGCTGAAGCCCCTGAGGCCTGCTTTGCAGGTGGTGGGGGGGACCCCAAACAGCCCAGGCAGAGGGGGTGTTTCCTGACCTAGGGGATGCTGGACTAGGCTGTTATCTGGGGTCCTCAAGGGGTGCCTGGGCCAGTGGCCAGGGAAGCAGTAGTGCTGAGTCATGCTGAACTCAGCGGGAAGGGTCTCGGGCAGAGGCGGGGTGGAGCCACTGACTGACCTCATGTCCTCGGCAGACTGCAAAGCGGCTGGGACCCTGAGAACTAGGCCTGGCTGGGAACCAGGTCTGGCCCACTCTCCCAAGAGGCGAGTGTGCTTGGTCTCCGAATCTTACAGTCTTTTTAGCTGCCTTGATGTTTTTCCTGGGTTCCTGCCTGTGGTCATAATGTCCCCTCTTTATGGCCAGTTGACTCAGTCTCCCCTCAAGACTGTCTCATCCTACAGCTCTCCCCTGACCTGGTGTCTCTGGGCAGAGTCTCTGGGGGAGGGGCAGTTGCCCCAGGCACACAGTCACAATGGGGCCTGAGTTACTCATTCACCAAATTTCATACCTCAGCCTAAAGACCTTTAGCCTCCAGCAGGCCCCACCTGCCGTGAGCTGGCTTCAGAAGTGCTCACAGGTGGAGAGAGAGGAAGTGGGGGGACAAAGACGATCTGAAGGACTGAGATCTTGAGGGTGGGGTGAGGGGTAGATCATTGGAGGGGGGAAAACAAGAGGCCCAGAGAGACAGAGGAAAGACCGAGAGATTGGAGAAGAGACCCAGAGAGAAGGTACAACAGACCCTATGACCAAATGATCTTTATCTCTGATATCTTTTTCCGTGTCTAATCTACAAGGCAGCTTTTCCGGTGTCTTCACAAGGGCCAGCTCTCCTGGAGGGCCCCACCCAGGTACTGGGCCAGCCCGTCCCCTTGGACCACACAGCACAGGTGCAGGCCTTGTCCTCTCGCTCAGAACCCGATTCCAGCATTGCGACCAGTTAGCTTCTCCACAGGGCTCTAGAGCCCTCTCCTGGTCCAGTAAGTCCTCCTCCCAAGGCCTCTCCACGGCATCCCCCCCCCCCCGCCCCAATTCTCCACCTCAGTAAGTGCAACTTCCTCCCGTCCATATAGCAGAAGCTTCCAAGCCCTAGTTCTCCAGGACCTGTTGCCCTGTTCTCTTTTCCTAAAGCCTCAGGCTCCACTGCCTGGCTTGGCCTTGCCCACTGCTGCCTCCAGCACAACACCCCAGGCTTCCACACAAGTGATCTTCAATTCCCTCAGGACCCCAGGCTCCTGGAGGGCAGAGCTGAGACTAACTCATCACTAACCCAGAGGGCACCAGGGTCCTTCAAAAAAGGTTTTGTCAGCACACAGGTCTCCTTAGCCAGCCAGCAAGTGGGCTCAGTGATTCAGACTCTGAAGTGTGGCCTGAAAGAGGTTTATTGCCCCCCCCAGACCACTCCTCCCCGTGCCCCCCCCACCCCAATAATTACAAAAGTAAGAAAAATGCCCATGACCCCCAATCCCACCCCTCCCGGAAAAATGCCATAATTTATGCAGAAAAGACACAGTCCAAGGCAGCTGGTGGCCTCAGCCCATCTTTTTCCAGATGGTGAGTGATGCAGTGAGCACTCCAGCCACAAAGATGGTCACTGTCTGCCACGTGGGTGTCCCAAAGTAGGAGAGGAGGCCGTCCTGTGGACAGGGACATCAGTCATTTCAGCAGCTGGGCCAAGGGGCAGCCCTTGGACCAGCACATGAGGAATCAGGGAGGGAGGTGGTCACAGGGCATGAGTGGGGGCAAAAGCCTAAAATGAATGGATAATGGGGTCAAAGGGTCATCAAAAAACTAGAGGGAATCCACAGGAAGTGGAGGCACCAGGAAGGACAGAAGGTACTAATGAGGTCAGAGATCACTGAGAGGTCAGAGGTCACAGGGAGGTCAGGGATCACCAACAGGTCAGTGGATACCGGACAAATTAGAGGAGTTGATCAGACCTGTGAGGAAAGGCATTACAGACCCCATTTGATGACCCAGAGTCAGAGAGAGCAACACTAGTGGGCTTGGAAGACCTGAGGAGTGGGGGAGGGGGTTAGGGGGCCTCACCCAACCACCCTGGTCCTGGATCCAGCCCAGCAGTCGCTCTCGAAGGAAGTCCAGTGTCCAGCCCATGATGGTCCTGATCAGCTCGGGCACCTTGGTACACAGGGCCTACAGGAAGCAGGGTGGGCCTTAGGGACTGAGCCTTGTCCCCACTGTCTGGGGACAATGGCCCCAAGCCTCCTTTCTCACCTCTGCCTCCCCTCGTACCATGCTGCAGTCTACTTCCACTCCTACTCAGAATGAGCCTCATGAACTGTCAACTGGATCTTGTTATCCATTGCCTGCTCACATACCTTCCATGCCTCCCCAGGTAGTAAAGACCAAAAGGCCTCTCTCAGCCCACAAGGCCCTGTATGAAGGCTCTGACTTGACTGCATTCCAATTTTCCACTTCTTTTCTGTGTGTCATTTACCTTCTTCTGTATCTTCGTTCCCACCAACTCTTCCCTGCCTCAGGACCTTTGCACATGCTGATTCTTCTACCTAAATAGGCTTCAACCAAGCAAATTTTTACTCCTCCCTCAAAGCTCTCATGTCAGGTCTAATGTCACTTCTCTAGAGAGAGCTTTCCTGACCTTCAAACTAGGTAGGACCAGACATACCTTCCTGCAGATGACTTTCCAACTCCCTGAACTTCCCCCTTCCCACCCTTTATGTATCTGACTGCTTCCTCCCTACTGTCCCCAATACCTTACACAGCTCCATCAACATTTTGACCGCTCTCCCCCTCACTTCCAACATTCAAGCCCTACCAGCTGAATCTGGCAAACACGTTAAGAAATCTACTCTCCACCTCCACTGCTACCAGTGGACGCCAGGTCAGTCAGTCATCAACCAGGATTACTACAGATGCCCCCTCACAGCTTTCCAGCTTTTACCCCATACTCTCTTCTACCCAAAACAGCCCCCCAAAATTGTTGGGCTTCCACTCCCAATATATCTTAAAGTTAAAAGGATTTCACAGTGAACAGCCATATGCCTGCAGCTGAGATTGTACAATTACCATTTTGCTTGCTAGAACAATCCCTGAAATTTACAAATCAGGTCACCTCACTCTCCTGTTTCAAAACCAGCCAATCACTCCCCTTTTGCTTACAGCAAAGTTAACATCTTTAACATCGACTATGGGGGCCCTCACGAGACCCCTTACAGTCTTCCCTTAATGCATCAGCCCCTTGGCCTGCCTCACAGCCTTTGCACTTGCTGTGGCCCCAGGATGCCTCCCATGCCCCCGATCTTCTTAGATCACCACAACTTTGGCTTTAATGTCACTCGCTCTTAGAATGTTCCAACCACTTTGCATTACATCATCCTCGTTTACTTCTTTTGGCCCTATTGGACAATGTGAGCTCCAAGAGAGCAGGGACCTAGCCTGTTCTGTTTGGCACTGCAACTCAGGTGCCGAGTACAGGTCGGGCACATAGTAGGCCCAAGAAATGTTTGCTCCATGAATAAATGAAGGTGCAAACAACCAGCCCATAGCTCTCTCCATTCCCTCTGGTAAACGGGCTTCCCAGGGCTTGTTGCCCTCAGAACCCCCAGGTCCTCCTAGGTCTGAGTGGAGCTTCCCTGGGCTCATGCCCTGCAGCCGCCCACCTTGAGCACCAGTTTGCTGGCAAAGTAGAAGAGGGCAACGACCCGACCCCAGT